AGGCTCGTGGTAAGTGCAGAGGACGCGGTCCTCCCACAGGACAGAGCAATTGGCCAGAAGCCATCTTGGAGATGGAACAGCTGAGCTCAGAGCCCAGAACTACCGCCAGCTCCATCTAGCGGCTCCCAGATGAGCTCACCACATGGAAACTGCTCAGAAGGCAGCAAGTCCAAAGAGTGATCTCAGGGCGGGCCTGCTGAGATTATCCACTACCCTGAAAAAAGCTACTGCGGGCTTGCTGGGGTTGATCTGCATGAATTAGGACTCTGCCTCCACAGGTTGTCTATTAGTGAGACTAGAGAGAACCCTGGAAGTGGACTTTTTTCTTTCTTCTCGTTCCTCTTCATTGTTTGATCTTGTTTTTATATGAGTGTGAATGTGGTTTCTAGCCTCTTTGTGGTTGTGGTTCTGTTCTGCTTTTCCTTTTACCTCTTCTATCTCTCTTTTCTTTCTGCACAAGTTTCCCAGAGTTGGCATGATCTCCCTTTTGCCCTCCAAACTTCTAATCTCTTCCTCTTCTCCACTTCTCTATTTTCTCCTTAATCCTCAGGGTGTAAAATAAAGCTGTTCACTGCCTCCTGACTTCCTCAGGTGTTGTTCCTTTCCCAGACTCAGTCTTACTGCAACAAGGGCTTATAAGGAAACAGACTTAATACAGGACACATAATTTATGGCATTATTTTATAATATTCACCCAAAGAGTCAAATGCAACAGAAACCCAAAGAATCCAGCTGAGGCTGGATCCCCCAACAATGTTCCTCATGAGTCCAGTTGAAGACCTAGAATCCATGGCAGTGTCCTCCACGAGTCCAGCTGGAGGCCTAGAGTCTACAACAATGTTTCATGCAAGTCTGTATCAAGGATCTGCACTGGAAAGATCCAAAGGTCAGCGGTGGAAGCTAGAAAGCCTGTGCCAGCAGGCTGAAGGATCTGCACTGGCGTCAGGAAGCGATGCTCACGGTGAGGACCAGAGCTCCCCGAGGAGAACCACAAATATCCTCAGCAACAGTGAGGACCCAAGCTGCTCGGTTGATGAGAACAACCGAGTTCATAGTAGGAAAGCCAGTGCAATAACCTCTCCAGGAGAATCAACAGCGCACCATCTTCCCCTCCAGGTCGCTTTTTACGCTGTTGGCAACAATCCTCAAGTGGACCTTGCACACCCTGATTCAGTTAGTTGGGAGTTACAAAACTGACCACTAATCCACTACACTGCAGTAGAACAGGATGTATCAAAGTGTGCTGCACTTGGAAAGGGTAAATACTTTTCTTTCAGGGTAATATTTTGATTGGACAACTCTGGTGGCCGCCTCAGACCTTCTGCGCTGCCGCACTGCAGCTGGTGAAGTGAGGTAGTAGTTCTGCTAGTGCATCAGGTTGGGTGACTGGGTTATGACACAGTGACAAGAGAGCCCAGTTCTCCAGGGCTGACCACAATTGAGATTTCTTTCCTTCTCACACACATGTCCACAGCAGCCTGATGGCTTTGCCTGCACTAGGGACATCAGCAGTCCTGTGGCAGGGAGAAAGGACCCCTGAGCACTGTGGGCTCATGTGGGGCCTCAACAGTGGCGCCCCTCCCCCACGCCCTGTTGCTGGTCAAAGAAAGAGACCCAACTGCCACCCGGGCGAGACAGGTAGGGAAGAAGAAGCCTGTTTACAAGAGGGCGGCCCATACCGTGAGTGTTAAAACACACAAGCTACCAGTCGTCAGGGAGGTCTTTCTGTCTGCCTTTCTTTTGCAGTTCTGGGGCCTGATCTCAGGACCTCGCAGATGTAGGCAGATGCTCCACCACTGAGCTATGTCCCCAGCCCTTTTGTATGTGGGGACAGAGGCTTGCCAAATTGCCCACGCTGACCTCAAACTTGCCCTCTCTTGCCTCAGCCTCCTGAGTACCTGAGATTAGGGGAGTCACCGCAGTACCACTGCAGGATTTAAGAGACAGGAGAGACCAAGTGGGGAACAGGAAGATTTTATTTTTAGATGTACATTGCCTCAGCCAATGAACCCAAAATGGTTGAACAAAGGACAAATGACAGTTTCTAGCTTTTACACGTTCAGTCAAGGAGCACGTAACTTGTGGGCAGACAGGAGAACAGACACTTTATCAAGCCATGACAGTTTTGTATCTCAGTGGCTCTACTGGGACATCACAGGGTGTTCTGGGAATAAGAGGTTATAAAATTTCGTTTACAGGGACAAATGTTTTTATTTTTTTATTTTTTGAGACAAGGCCTTGCCAAGTCCCTCAGGCAGGGCTCATCTTCGGGATCCCCCTGCATCAGCGCCCCAGAGTGCTGGGATTACAGGCACCACCACCACACCCAGGCGTGTGTGTTCTTTTGCACCCCTTTCCCACTTTCTACACAGGGAGGACTTTCTGTGCTAAGCGGGGCGAGGGCTTCCAGCGGGGTGCTGTGGTGCAGGATATGGGTCTGAGAGCTTTGACGAAACCTCCCTCCCTCCCTTCACACAGTAACGGCCTCCAGAGTCCCACTGTCCTTCTGTCAGTCACTATTTGCCAGCACACCATGCAGCCACTCTGATCTCACTTCTGGGGTCGTCCATCAGAATGGATTCCAAGACTGGGAGATTAGAACGAATCCGAGTGGAAAGAGGAGTATGTGGTGGTGGAGGAAATGGTCAAAGTAGGGTCTGTGTGTGTGTCTGCCTCAGAGAAATATAGAATTCAGTAGAACAAATAGGCAATAATTAAAAAACCAGGGCTGGGGATTTAGCTCAGTGGCATAAGCACCTGCTGGCAAGTACAAGGTCATGAGTTCAGATCCCCAGTACCAAAACAAACAAGCAAACAAAAAACACCAAATGTAAGCTGAGAGTCAAACACGATGTGGAGCGAACAAGCCAGTGCTACAGGAATGCCTGGTGGGTGTTCCCCATTTTGAAAAATGAGAAATTTGTATTAATATTTGGGGGGCTGCGGAAGGGGCTCAAAGCCGTTGCCTTGCATGGTTAAAGCCCTGGGTTTGATCCCCAGCATCACACACACACACACACACACACACACACACACACACACACACATTTTGGGGATGCATCTGAGGTGATACAGCGATACACAAGACAAGAAGGCGGGTGCAGTGGTGCACACCTGCAGTCCTAGCACTGTAGGAGGCTGAGGCAGGAAGATTGAAAGTTCATACTCAGCTGGGGCAATTTATCAATTTAGTGAGAACTTGTCTTAAAAAATAAAACAGGGGCTATAGCTCAGTCCCGAGGCCCTGGGTTCAGTTCCCAGGAAGAAAGGGAGAAACAGCAAGCAAGCAAGCAAGACATTCAGGTGTGGCAGCACACACACTCAGCACTTGGGAGGCTGAAGCAGGAGCAGGAGGACTGCCGTGAGCTCAGGGACAGCCTGGGAGAACCTGTCTCTAACAAACAAACAAAACAGGAAGGAAGGGAAGAGAAGAAAGGAATAAAACAGAAAAGAAACAAAGAGTGGTGGCTGTCTGGACACTTGCTTGTGAATTCATTGAGTCACACACTTAGATTTTTGTGTACTTTTCCATATATGAGACTATTCACAGTTCTGATAGCTTTTAAAATTTTTTTTAAGTTTTTTGAGACAGGGTCTTGCTGTGTAGATTAGACTGGCCTTGAATTTACTATGTAGCCCAGGGTGGCCTCAAACTTGCATCAATCCTCCTGCCTCGGCCTGTTTAGTTGGGATTATAGGCATGTACCACCACACCCCACTTCTGGTAGTTTTTAAAAAATCTTTATAATACCTCACATACATGTCTATTAGCCCTCAGGGCTGGGAATTTGGCTCAGTGGTAGAGTGCTGGCCTAGCATCCACAAGGCTGAGTTCAATTCCCAGTATACATGCACACACACACACACACACACACACACATACACTCACACACTTTACCCCACAGACTTTCAGTGTAACTCATACTGGGTGCATATTTGTAACATACTGTTTTTTTCTAATATGTGATAAACGTGTTCCTGTTGGTCACACAGCTAACCATTGGTAACTAGATAGGCTATAATAAAAAGACTAGCAATACCAAGTGTGAGAGAAGATATGGGTTCCTGGAACCTTCACAGATTGCTGGTGGGAATGTAAACTGGTACTGCCACATGGGGAAAGCCTTGCAATTTCTAAAAAGTTATCCATACACTGATCATATGACCCAGCAGTTGCACTCCTAGGTATCTAGCCAAGAGAAGAAGAGCACGTGTCCACATGGCCTCATGTACATGCTCATGCTGGTGTTATGCGGAGGCAAAAGGGGAACATCCTAATACTTAAAGCCTTGGGCAGACTGGGAGCTGCTAGGTACACCCACATTTGCACAGTAGAAAAGTACGTATACTATAACACGGGGATCCTGAACACACTCTGAAAAGTACAAGGAGCCAAGCCCCAATATTATACCTTATATGATTCTACTTAGATTATTATTCATTTATTTGGTTCTTTCGCTTTTTTGGGACAGGTCTTGCTATATGGCTCAGGCTGGATTTGAACTCACTATGTAGTCCAGATTAATCTTGAACTTGTAGAATTCTCCTGCTTCAGCCTCCTAAATGCTGAGATTACAGGTTTGTGCCACCACACACAGCTCCATTTGGATTTTTAATGCTGGCATATAGCTCCATTGCATAGTTATAGTATAAATTCTTATACCAACTGTCAGACTTGGGATAGTTTTCTTTTTGGGGGGGGATAGTTTTATTTCTTTTTCACTTCCTTCTTTCCTTTCTCTGTCTCTCTGAAACCGGTTCCCACTATGTAGTGCTGACTGGCCTTTAACTCAGAGTGACCCTCCTGCCTCAGCTTCCTAAATCCTGGGGTTATAGAAATGCACCACTATACCTGGAATCTCATTTTTCAATATTAGAAACAATGCTGTGAAAACCACTTTTGTGGCTAAATATTTGTGGCCAAATTTAATTATGTCTCTGGACCATTTTCAGAAGTGGACCCGTAGAGGGTTTCTAGAAAGCGTTCAGTGAATGTTCCCCGTGGCCCTTCCCAAAGTTTGCTTCCACTGCTCTCTGCAGTGGATTGACAGGGCAGAGCCTCCTTTCTTAACTGCAGTCCTCTCCTGCCAGTTCTGCTCCTCAGGGTGCACCCCAGGCCCAAGGCTCCCACCTCACGATGCCTTGTGTCTGTTTGCAGTTGCCCTAGATCAGCAGCGGCCATGAGTATCCAAGTCCACATCGACAATTACCAGGTGGCTGGCTTTGCCATAATCACTATTGCATGGATCTTTAGCAGCACTTCCATGGGCCTCGTGGAGTGGCGCATGTGGCACATGGATGACCCTTCGCTCTCCTCTTCTATCGTCTGTGTGGGAATGTGGAGAGTCTGCATTTACAAGCACGACAGCAACTTCAGCAAAGCCAAGAGGTGTCACCAATACGCCTACCACGACATCTTCCTCCCTCTGGATATTCGCACCGCTCAGCACCTCCTGCTGGCCGCCAGCGCCCTGGGGCTCTTGGGGAAAACTTGTGCCATCATGGCACTCAGGAACACGCAGCGGAGAACCCAGGCCAAGGAGAGGGCCCACAGACTCTTCATCACTGCGGGAGTTTTTGCCATCACTGCGTGCTGCTGTGTCTCGGTTGCTGTCTTCTGGAACTTCCACTCCGTCATGAATGAGGAGAGGGTCTACTTCCCGCTGTCTTTCCATTTGCCCTTCCAGCCCGGCAATCAGGAAATAGGGAGCGCCATGCTAGTGGCAGGCATAGGTGCCTTCCTGTTGTTGTTAAGTGGGTTGTTTTTCCTTTCTTACACTTATCCTCTGGACATTCCAGTAAATCCTGAGAACTGACAAACAAACGAACAAAAAAGGAGATTGCATTGGCTTTGAAAATCCAAAATTCCCAAGAATTTATGAAAAATATTATCAGGTAATTCAAGGACAAGGAATTCTATGCAAAGGGACCCTGGGACAGAAAGTGGTCACAGTGCCTTCCATTATCTTCTGGGTTTGACTATGGTTCACTAATAGGCTGGTTGGAATAGAAGCTTTCATTTAAAAAAATCTTGCTTTCCCACCTGCAAACAAATAAACAAACAAACAAACAAAATAGCAGATGTCAGGGAGGGGCACACTGCACAGCTCTGGGTGCCTGCTTGGCTCTGCCTCACCCCTGTAGGTGGAGGTTGGCCCTGCGTGGTGACTATGCTGGCCTGGCAGGCTGTCCCACACTCTGTGCCCACCAATATAGTTGCTGCTGCTGGGCCCTGAACTAGGACCCAGGACTGTGAATGAGAGATTGGCTTCTCCTACCCCTTACTATAACTCTCTCCAGTAACCCAAGGCCCCCACCCTTCCAGCATCTTGGGAATGGACCATTACTCTGCCGCTGTGAGTCTGAGGCAAGATCACCAGATGGACAGCAGGGAAACAGGGCCACTTCAGAGAGGTCTTCTTGGTGATGACCATCCCTGGGGTGCAGAGATACACTCAGGGAGTATACAACACCTCAAGCACAGCAATGCCCAAGCCCAGCCCCTCCCTCCCCTGAGACTCCGGTGCTCAGCTCCTGATAGATGCACATGGACCCATTCTGCAGGTACAGTAGATGCTTTGAGGGAACACATGTGTACACAATCTGGGGACCCCTGAGATAGCCCCAGGGCAAGTTCCCACACACCCTGGATACACATGCATGAAGCCTTGGTGCCCAGCGGTTGCCTTTCAGCACTGGCATGCCAAAGGAAACTGCCCATGGGCAGACAGAGCAACAGATGCAGCCAGCCCTACCCGTGCTCTGTTGACACAAAGGGAGTGTGTCCTCTGGATCCATGCACAGCGGGGTGTCCATTCCATGCCTGGCCATCAGATCCTAGGACCCTGAGACACCAGAGCGGTCAGGTCAGCTGTGGGGCCAGCTATGGACAGCTGCAGGGTGTGGTGTTGGGACAGAGTCTTGCTGAGAGTGCTTAGGTGGGTGTGTTCCATGAGGCCTGGTGGCTCCAGAGACCACAGACATTTCACAAAAGCTCTGCCATGTGCCAGGGCATCCAGAGTTCTGTTCTTGAGCTGCGTAGGCTGGAAGGCCAACCAAAGCACAGTGTGGTAAGGATCCACAGGGCCATCTGCACAGGGGGTGAGGCAGATTCTTGGAGGGAGATGGCCACGTCCTGGCTGAGAACATTTGTGGTGTTCAAGCATGTGGTGCACATAACTGCCGGGACAGTGCCCAAGTCCTGTGCAGAAGAGAGGATGCTAAAGGGATAGCGTGACCCCCACTGGGCCTAGGGGTGCTCAGGGCCACATGAGCTACAGAATGTTTGAGGCAGATGTGTGGACCTCTGGGAGACTTATCCAGAGAGCAAGGTGAAACTTGGAACTCTAAACTCCCTTTTACCTGCTTATCTGACACAGCGATAGCTCCCCACACTAATGCACTACTTTTTCCACTGAGAAAAAAGCACGATTGGATTTAACTTTGATGTGCATTGCTCAAATAAGTCATTGTGATGAGAAGTGTTCTAATCAGAGATGCCAGAGTTGTAGTGGACAAATAGATGCCAGGCATTGGGATGGTGTGGAGGGGATGCCCAGGAATCAACCTTTGGCAAGTAGAGGCTCTGCTTTGCTGCAGGTGCCTGTGGTCCTAGCGCCCGGCGGGTTTCCTTCCCTGCTGTTAGGGGGCAAGGAGGAAGGAGCACTGGTTTGCAGGTCAGAAGCCGTGGGCAGCACAAGTGTGGGAGTCACCTTCTCCAGCCTACCTCCTTTTCCTCCCCTGTCAGTTGCAGGGTTGCACCAGGATCCAGAGAAATGGAACCCAAATCTTGGGCCTCCTGACCAGGAGGAAGCTGCTCTTGGGCAGTGACAATAAAAGGAGATACAGAGGGCTTTGAGCCAAAGTCTCTATGTGTGATGAGGTCCAGGGACTAGGATGCCCCCAGGGGAGACTTCCTCAGCAACAGAGACTCAGCTTTAAAGCTCAGTAACCAACACAGGCAATTGGACCAACATTTGATGCACAACTTGCGGTATGACTGTACCTAGAGTTGACAGAAACAGGGGATAGGAATCAGAATATTTCAGGAAGAGGGAACCACCTATGCAAATGTCCAGTGGTTGATTTGCTGTATGGTCTGTTTGGGACTCAATGTTCCTTTCATGGCTTCCTTGAAGATGACATTTGTAATACTTAGGCCTTGTTATGTGCCAGCTAGTTTGCATGCATTATTTCACATTACTCTGTGAGGTACGGTCTCTTTACCTTCTATTTCACAAATGAGTAGACTAAGGCATAGAGAGGTTTGTAATTTGTCCAAGGTCACATAGTAGGAGGAGGATTCAAATCCAGTAGTCAGGCTGCAACATCCACCCCTTGTTAGGACAAAGCCTCCTTAGTGCTGGGAGATCCTGCAGTGCCCAGGAGGTCACATGTACAGCAGAGGATCCTGAGATTGGCAGGGACTGTGGTTGTATGGGTCTATAACCAGTGGCAGTGATAGTGGCCTAGGTGGCCATGACCAATACTGGGATGCCATTGACCGGGCTGTGTATATTCGGTCCCAGGCTAGAAGATCCTCACCCCTGGCATAGTCAGAGCCCATGAAGAAATATACAAAACTGAGGTCAGACTTTGGTCCAGGAAGATACCAGGTTGTGGAACAGGCCTCCTGGGTGGCCAGGAAGGACATACCTTGGTGCCAGCTGCACAATCCTGACCATAGGCTGATTATATTGCCTAAAACTAACACAAAGACAACCATACCTTTTTTCTTTTTTTTTTTTTTTTGTCTTTTCTGTTTTTATTGGTACCAGGGATTGAACTCACGACTGCCTGCTTGCAACGCAGGCGCTTATGCTGCTGAGCTAAATCCCTAGCCACTTTTATTTTTATTTTTTTGGTCCTTTTGAGACAGGGTCTCACTATGCAGTTCAGGCTGACATTGACCTCACTTTGTAGCTCAGGCTGGTCTCAGACTCTCAAGGATCTTCCTGCCTCAGTCTCCCAAGTTCTGGGATTACATGAGTGTACCACCATGCTTGGCTTAATAACCATACTTCAAAAAATTTTTTAATTTTAAAAACAAAAAAATAACAACAGTAACAAAAATTATATAGAATTGGTAACCAGACTTTTTATGCACCAGGAATGTCTCTGCAGATCCCCCTGAAAGTCCTCACAGCAACCCCATTTCACAGATCAGAAACCAAGGCAGAGAGATTAAGTTATTTGTCTGGGGTGGCATAGAGCATGAGGTATAGGATCTGGGATTTGAACTCAGCTAGTAATGGTTGGATTCACACCCCAGCCCCTGCACTGTACGAGGTATGAGCAGGGCCTGCTCTGTGCCAAGCTGTGACCCTCAGCATTTACTCTTGTGGCCCTGCCTGGAGACAGGCATGATGCTTGTCCCCATTTACAGGCGAAGGCTCTGAGGTTCCAAGAGATGCAGCCACCCAACCATTTCCATAAAGGTGGCACAGTACGGATTTGGCTGCTTCTTCCTGAGTTTGGAGGCAGTGATTGTCACTGAGAGGACCTGATTGTCCCCGTGCCTCGGGTGCTCCTGCTGATAGCCATGCACCCCATGTTCCAGCTGTCTGCATATCCTTCAGAGCCAGCTCAGGCATTGGCACCTCCAGGAAGCTCTCCCTGAAGCCACTTCCTCCGGGCTCCCTGAGCCCTTTTGCTTACCCCACATCCCAGCACTTCTCACCATGCACATGTCTGGTGGCCCTTCCGGAGGTCGGGGAAAGAGCTGGCTGATCTCTTCACAATGCCTTGACGAGGGCTCCTAAGGGTGAAGCTGATGGGTCAATGGAGAGAGCCCTTAGGAATGAATATGTCAATTAGTGATGGGTTGAGTGTTACTCAGAGAATTCCAGTAACTGTTCAACAGGTCCTCATACGTGGCAGACCCTGGGGACTGTCAGTGGAGTCCCTGGAGTGCCCTGTATGCACTCTGAACTTTTATGGAATTTCCTTGAGTACCCTACAGTGCTGAGAGTTACCAGAATTTACAGTGGTGGCACAGAACTTTAATCCCAGCACTATAGTGGCTGAAGGAGGATTGCAAGTTTGAGCAGCCTTGAGAACTTAGCACCTTTGCAAGACTCTGTCCCAAAATTAAAAAATGAAAAAAGTGTTGAGGATGTAGCTCAATATGAAGCTGGGCACTAGGTTTAATTTCCAGTACTGCAAACCAAACAAGACAGACTGGTCTGGCTGAAGGGGAACTGTGATCACTCCAGTCTTCCTGCTTCCTCCTCACACAGCAGAAGTCTCAGGACTGCTAGGAGTTGGTGAGGCTCAGAACGGGGCTGCTCATCTTTCCACTGCACTGGGAAGGAGCTCCTGAGAGCCCCTGGGAGAATTCATTCCAAGGTACACAGAACAGAATCTAGAGTATTTTTCAAAGTGTGGTCCTCCGTGCAGCAGCATCAGGATCACCCAGCAATCTGGTGGAAGTGCAGATTCTCAGATCTCACCCCACACCTTCCAGGGCAGAAACGCGGGGGTGAGGCCTGGCACCTACATTCTGATAGTGCTCCAGGTGTGCTGGTGTACACCCAAGACAGAGACTTGCTCTCAAATGTTTCAGAAGATGAATTTGAGGGCTGGGCGTGGGATTACATGCCTGTAATCCCAGCACTCGGGAGACTGAGACAGAGGACAGCTGTGAGTTCCAGGCCAGCCTGGGCTATACAGGGTGTTCAAGGCCAGTCTGAACTGCGTAGTGAAACCCTGTCTCAAAAAGAAAAAAACAAAAAACAAAATCTCCCCACAACAACAGCAACAAAAACTTCGCATCATAGGAAAATCAGTCAAAACAGAATAGATTTTTTTTATTTAGAGAAAAACAGCAAAACAGAAAAAAGGGTAGAAATAATGCAGAATTTCAAAAAAAGTAAGAAATCACATATAAATTACATATAGTTATCTTAGAAGTAGTTGCTCAAGTCACAAAATCAAAGCATAAAAAGTGGACAATCAATGACAGTACAAACCCTTCTGTCTGATGAAGTAACAAGAACTTAGCAGTATGGTTATCCATCTTGCACACTTAAACACACATACAGTTATATCCTTTCTTTCCCTTTCATTATCTCAATTTTTATTATACATTTTAGATTTTATTAATTTCAGTTTTTATCATTATTTTTATACTAGAGAGACGTTATGATATTACAAATGTGAGTCTGATTTTATTTCACTTATTTCACTTGAGGATAATCTCAAGTTGCCTCTATTTACCTATAGAAGCCTCAAGACCATCCTTTTTATAGCTGAGTAATATTCCATTGTATAAAAATATCACATTGTTTTCATCCCAAGATAGAATCCTAACTTTCATTCTCATGATATAGTGTAACAGAAAATGTGCCCTTCCAGCCAGGATACTTTAGTTTCTTAGTTGCCAGAAAGTAGTTTCTGCTCCAGTTGCTTCTTTTTCTTAGAAACAAATGGTCACTATGCTGCATAGCTCATCACTATGATGCACACTGTATAAATTAATCCCCAGTTGGCAAGCCATTCTGCCTCTGTACTTCCTGCTTGCTTGTCCTGTATAAGTCCTAGACCACCAGAGATCAGGGCTTGATATTCTAGGAATGATCCTGATCAGTGCCCTTCAATACAAATACAAATAAATGGGTGTTGTATTGGTGTTCACACTTGCCATTGCAATAGAAGCTACATAAAATGAGTTTTTACATATTTATATACATGTCCTTTCAATAAGGAGTAATTAGTACCAATCAGAAAGGACAAGAAATTAAACTGGGCTCCATGGAAAGAGGAATATTACTCTTACTCTGTGATGTCCAGGTGGGTTAAGAAAACATGTGAGTGGGTCAATAAACGAAGAGCGGATGTTTCACAGGTTTCTGCTGTTCATTACACAACTATTCAAAACCCATTTTCTTTTTGTGAAAAAAGATTTAAAAATTGCATTGTTCGTTTCATTCTAGGTGATAGATAAAAAAGGCAGTATCCTATCACCTGGCAAAAGCATTAACTGCTCTCAAACTAATGTCTATGTGGCCTTCTGTTTCTTCTCCAAATTAGTGGTATGAAAATGGAGAAAGTACCAGGCATGCTTGAGTCCAGAGATGAGTCCAAATTCCACGCCGGCCATGTCTTACTATATGAATGGGGGCACGTGCCAAAACCCCAGGCTATTTCACCAGCTGTTTCATGGAGAGAATGTCACAGCCTCCCATGAGGACTGGTTCTCAAGGATTAAATTCTACAGGCAAGGCACTAGGGGAAGGAATTTTATTTAATTTTTTTGTACTCTATTGAACCTTATTTTTGTATTTTAAGCCAGGAGCTACCGTTTAAAAATTAATTTCTTTCAGAAGTAGGATGTTGTAATGTGCGAGTCACTTAATGGGTACCAGACTCCATCTCTGTTCTGTCCAAATTAATTCCCCAGCGTCATCTTCAGCTCCTAGCCAATCAGAAAAAACTGCTGTTGTGAAAAGAGGAAACTTACACAGCCCGGAGGCAGTGACGGGTATTTCCGGTTTGTCAGAGAGCTGATGGCGTCCTCAGCTCTCTGGGTTTGTACTTTTGCCATTACTAGAAAGGAGCGACTTGGCAGGGAGGGAGACCTCCACTCGGAGGGTGCGGTGAGCAGCCTCCTCCTCCCCGCAGGGACCGTACCAGGCCCTTCCAAGGGGCAAGCACAGTCTTTGAGCACCCAGCAGTTGCTGAATCACTGTGGCCAGTAGTTTATATCCAATCCGAGGAGAGCTGGGCAAACATCACTAAGCAAAACAGCAATTTCTTACTTTTAAATTCTGTTTCACTAAAAGCTAAATCAGAAGTAGTCACTGAATTTTCACTGCGGCACACATGGCAAAACCATAGACCAGGCAATCAACTTTACAGATGAGTTGTGTCCCAAAGAAGACTGGAATTCTTTTGGTGGCAAGTAGCAGAAACTCAACTCAAATGGACTTAAATTAAAATAAATAATGTATTTCCCTTGCAGTATTGGGGAATGAACCTAAGGCCTTCACGTGGAGCTACCTCCCAGCCCTTCTTTTTTATTTTTATTTATTTTTTAAAATTTTGAGCCAGGGTCTTGTTAAATCACTAAGTTGCTCAAACCTGTGATCCTCTTGCCTCAGCCTCCCAGAGTGCTGGGACTGCATTCATGCACCATTAAACTTGGTTAAATTTCCTTTAGCTCATATAAGTGAGATGGTATGGTAACACTTCAGTTCATGGATGTTTCTGTTTGCAAACAATTTGGTTCACAAAAGTGTTCGGCAAAATGTTACTTCTGTTCATAAACTCTGTATTGGATAACAAACATGACCACAGCCATTCACTACACAAATAAAACGGAGCCATCTTTCCCAAAATCGTAAAACAAATTAAGCTTGTAAACCAAGGCGTCACTGAATACAGGTACATGTACATCCAAACACTCACGTGAAGTTAGTTAATTTCTTAGTCTGCGTCTGCTGTCTGTGCTCTCTCTACCAACTCCATCTGAGCAGATCCTTCCCGCTTAGTGGCAACAAACTCCACATTCACACAAGGGGAGAAGAGCGGGGTCTTTCCAACTGCCGTGGACTCCCTGTGCTCATTCTTCATCTAATTCCACTCTCCAAAATCTCCTCCCCCACCATCATCGTCTCACTCTCCGTACAGCTGATTTCAGCAGAACGGTGACAATCAGTGTGTGAATAACTAACTTGAACTGTGCTCAGTAGGCTTGATAATTAATCAGACAGTATTACAAAGACAAGTGGAAAACGGGAGGTAAGAATGTTCTCTTGGAGATAAGGTGGTCCTTCCTGATAGACCACCCTTCCTCCAAAAGGTCTCCCCAGACCTCTTTAAACCACACTCTCCTGCGCCTCCACCCGTCCAGCTACATGTTCTCTCTGACACTATAGGTTTGATGGTGTATTTAGTCATCTGTTAATCAAGGAATGTCTGCATGGTAAATAGGGCCAGCTGGACTGAAATGTTAAATACATACAGAGAACACAGCCATGAAACAATCACTGACCTTCTCACGTTCACAACCCATCTATCTGGGAATAGATCTCAGAATTTCACTTGGTCATTGTATTAAGCTGGGTTCCCAGGTGACCTCTGGCATCTGCAGGCAACTCCAGCTGCTGTTAGCAAGCAGGGCTCTGTGCAGGGATGGCTCCAAGTCCTTGATGCCTTTGTGAAAAAAAAAAAGTACTATGGGTCATATAAAACCTCTATAAATTGCCTTTGATTTTCAAGTGGCCTCTTTTGAGGTTCTGGAAGATGGTACAGAAAGAAACAATGGGATCACTCCTGAAATCTTCAAAGGAGGCTTCCAGATCAATTCAGAGAAATGGTAAAGTACTAGTCTCCTCTCTGCCACAACCTAGAGCGGCTCCTGAGGTTCTTGGGGTTAAGGACCTGCAAGAGGATGAGAAAAAATAAAGAAAAGAAAAAGCTGGGGCCAGCTGGAGCCCTCATCCTCCTGATGGGAAAAAAGGAACTGCTCAACCACTGCAGCACATATTTCCGTATCTTTTCCAGATTAATCCAAAATAAAGACAAAAATTATTATTTATTTTTTTGGTACTGGGGATTGAACTCACAACCTCATACTTGCCATGCAGGCGCTTACACCACTGAGCTAAATCCCCGGCCTGGCAAAAATTATTTTAAGAGAATTTTAAGAGAAATGTTATTTTAAGAGAATTCAGGACAATTTTTACTTAACAGCTTTATGGGAATCAATACTCTACGGTAGAATAAGATATGAATTTTGTTTTTTTTGACACAGGGTCTCACTCTGTAGTTCAAGCTAGACTTGAACTAACTGTAGAGCCCAGTTTGGCCTCAAACTCATTAGCAATCCTTTTGCCTTAGCATTCCACGTATGACACTACACCTGGCCCTTTTGTAATTTTTGAGACATTAGCTCATTAATTTGCCCAGGCTGGGCTTGAATTTGCAATTTTCCTGCCTCAGCCTCTTTGAGTGTTGAGATTCCAGGTCTCCACCACCATGCCTCTATGTACAGATCACATTCATGATTTCTGTTGTGTAATCTAATGTGTAAATGTTTTTATGATACATATCATACTATAAAATGAGTTTTTTGTTGTCTTTTTAAAGTGAGAGACTTAATAAGAGGCAGAAAAAGTACAGAACACCAATTTTTAGGGAATAAATTTATTTTAAATTTTTTTAAAATTTGAAAAACAAGCTGAATATCTAGCTATACCAAAAGCAAAATACTAGCAAAAATAATACCTGAAAATCATGTTTAATGTTGAAAAAACATGTTTCAAAACACCAGGTTTAACCCTTCTCTACAGGGCAAAACAAGTTCATGAAACCATAACACTAGACTGTTTTTTTTTTTTTTTTTTTTTTTTTCATTTTTTTGGTTCTGGGATCAAACTTACAACCTCGTGCTTGCCAGGCAAGCACTTACACTGCTGAGCTAAATCCCCGGCCCCTAAAGTGTTTTTTTGTTTTTGTTTTTGCTTTTAAAAACGACTGTAATTTTGAAAAATAAAAAAACCTAAAAAAAACCATGTTCAGTTTCCATCCTGGAATATCATCGCCTATAAAACGCCTGTGAAAAGCACAGTAGCTACACCTGAAAGCAAATCTGTAGCTGGAGGACATATTGTGTCACACTCAGGTTATACCAAAACCCAACAAAAATAGAAAGTAACTAGAAGCAAGCTATAAAGTTGGAATTTTTCTGTGGAATAGTAGCTTCACAAAGCAAACGGTGTCCAGCTAGTTCCACAGACTTGCGCGTTCGTGGGCGTATGGCTGATTTATTCCCAGAGTTCCTTTGTCTTGCACTATATATAAAAAAGTCTGTCTCAAGGCAAGTCCACTGAAGAAGGCATCAAGATCCCCCAAAGGACACTAAGTCTACTCTTACCCACTCAAGATGACTTCAAACTCAGTAAGGGTCAACATTCTAGGCTGGGTGTGAGGGTGCAGGCCTCTAACCCAGCTACTCTGGAGGCAGACGTCGAAGGAACAAGGCCAGGCTGGGCAACTGGGTGACAGCATCCCCAAGTGGAAAACAGCGCCCGAGTGGTAGCTCGGTGGAGTGCTTGCCTAGCATGAACCAAGTTTTGGGTTCATCCACAGTATTCCCACCACCACACTCAGGCATGCGCGCACACACACACAAATGCACAAGTGTGCACGAGTTAACATTCTAAATAACTGAAAATATCTAAGAAGGTTCCAGCCCCATCTACATTACCGAGGTCCTGCCTGTTCACGCAGCCCACCCCATCTGCCTCTGGGCTTACCAAGCAGAGCCCTTAGCTCTACGGATAGAAATATGTTCCCATCTTCTCCAGCTATTAAATTAGGCATAGCCATAGAGCAGGAAGCCTCAACATTTACACATGGAACTATTTAAAATTTAGGAACAAACCCACCTCTAAAGCCCTTTAATATTCTCAGTGTAGCCAGTTTGTACCACAACCCTTGCTGTTGGCCCTTACCCTGCCTTTTTCAGTCACTTTGCCTGGGAAGAATCCCCGAAAGCACTTTGGGAGAAGCGTAGCTCTAAGGGAACCTTCACGGTGTGAGTGTGTGCTGAAGGTTCCCTTACTCCACAGAAACCCAGAGCTATCAGACTATGCTCTTTCTCTTCTTGGCTTCGCATGTCTTCCGGGGGAGTTTCTACACCCTGAGACTTCTGTGTTCTTCATTCTCAAGCGCAAGTTGCTCCTGAAACATTTCAAGAATTCTTGCCGACTCTTAAAATGACTTTCACAGTCAGTTCCCACATAAATCTAAGATTCTTGTCACTGTCGGAAAAACCTTTTTCCCTAGCATCTTACAGAAGCATGCTTGTTTATGCGGTGGAAATGCCTGTGAAACAGGTGTTTCTGCAGCCACCCTTCATCCTGAAAGCACTCAGCAAGACCTGCTGAACTTTCCTATAAGTACTCAGGCAATTAACCTTCCCATTCAACTATCTGTAAGAACATTTTTCTGATAAGCCACTATATTTCTGTATGTAGCAGGAGATGTTTTCTGCCCAGATTTTATTTTATTTTATTTTGTCTTGTTGAGATGGGATCGCACTATGCAGCTCAGGCTGGCCTTGAACTCACTACATAAGCCCGGGCTGGGCTCCAACTCGATACGTAGTTCAAGCTAATCTTGAATTCACTGTGTAGTCCAAGTGGGCCTAAGCGCTGGGATTATAGGTGTGCACCACCATACCTGGCTTTAATTTCTTTTATCTGCCTCAGCATTTTAATGCTGGCATTACGAGGTCTTCACCAACTATGTAATTTTTTTCTTTGATGGGATAAGATCTGTTGCAAATAATTTGCTTCTTAAAACTTGTTATTGCACGTAGTTTTAACAAGAAGTTTACCCTGTTCTGTTACTTTAAAAAGTCATGTAAAATAATCAACATCTTTGTCACACAACGGTCATTTAGTTAGGATAACTGGAGCTATTATTAGATCTCTACATTGCATGACAATGCACAATGGAACTGGCCAGTTTGGATTACATCTGTATAAAATCTGTAGAAGTAGCTTTTGTTGTAAAGATTAAATTGCTTCATGTTCCTTTCTGCACTACTATCCAGTAAAGAAGACTGACTTCTCATTACTGACCTTACCAGGAATGCGCATAGGTGTGTATGTCTCGAATGACTCTCTTTCATTTCACACCTTGCTGCTTTCAAAAACTGCAGCAATGCAGTGTTGGATTTATTCCTAACAAAGCTTAATGAAATATAAAAATGAACATGAATAAAGAAAAACAAAAAAGTACAAAACCATCACAAAACAATTCACTTACAACCCATATAATCTACATTTCTACAATGTTTACAACAAAGTGGCTGTGGACAGTTGAGTGGTGACACTTAAAATTTTGTTCCTCAGCACTCAGGAGGCTGAGGCAGGAAAACCGTTGTGAGTCTGAGACCAGCCTGAACTGCACAGAGAGACCCTGTCTCAGAAAGACAAAAAAAAATTGACCAGTTACAAAATGAGCTCAAGTCCAGCCTAAACTGCACAGAGAGACCCTGTCTCAAAAAGACAAAAAAAATTGTTTTTTGGTTCCTTCTTTAGAATGCAAATTTCAAGCCAGGTTTGGTAGCGCATACCTGTAATCCCAGCACTCGGAAGGCTGAGGCAGGTGGATTGCTGCAAGTTTAAGGTCAGCCTAGGCTACATAAGTGAGTTCAGGGCTAGACTGAATTACACAAAGAAATTGTGTAAAAAAAAAAAAAAAAAAAAAGGCAAATTTCCCTCTGATTTTCTACTTCTCAGAGCTTGTTCCCTCCTTCCATAAATCATCTGGCAGGACGTAAGGGGAGGCCGAGGAAGTCATAGGGTGGGAGAGGCAATACTGTCCTTTATTACCCTCCCCGTGTGACAGTACACATACTGCCAGGCAGGGCTGAGACAGATGTATAGAAACTGTTCAGCAGGTGGAGGACTCATTGCTATTATGAGGTCAGCACTACGCAGCACACAAAGGTCAAATATTTTAAGTCACAGTTTTACAAAGAACCCAGTACTGTCTTCCAGAACCTGGTTGACAAACCCACCTCCAACTCAAGGTAACTCCTATGAAGGTGGTGTTCCTTTGATTCCAGTCTGTCTGTGATTTGACTGGCTAGTTCAGGTTTGGAACCTCCCTCATCTAACTCCTGAGCCTCAGATCTTGGTTTTGTCTCCCAGGCTCCTCCTCAGTATTCTCTGGCACCACCTGTTGCTTTTGTTCCCTTCTTTTGGATCATCTTGATTTGATTTGCCATCAGGCTTTGGGAGAAGCAGTGATGGGTCTTTAGTAGTCTTCTCCACCTCCTGAAGATAGTATTTTCTGAATGACATGTAATCTTTCACAAGATTCAAGTGACACCCAGTTTTGATGATTTCAGTCATGCACTGTGGATTGGTGAGACCTATTTTAGCTTCTGAATTGAGACTGCCCACTACTCCTATAACCAAAATGGGAACAAATCCCTTTTCATCCCTTTGTTTGGAATTTGTTAAAATGGGATATATACTAGTCCACTCTTCTATGTGAACTTCAGTCAAATTCCTGAATAAATGCAAATGAAAGCCTGAGATATTTATTAAGAATATAAGTGGCCCTCCATATCCACAACTCCCATGTCCAGATTCAACCAACCTTGGGTTAAAATATTTGGGAAAAAATAGTGTCTGCATTAAACATGTACAGACTTTTTACCTGCCAGTATTCCCTAAACACAGCATAAAAACTACTTATTGTATTAGGTACTCTAAACAACCTAGCAATGATTTAATTAAAGTATACAAGTGGGGAGCCAGGGATACAGCTCAGCAGCATAAGCTCCTGCCTGGCAAGCACAAGGTCCTGAGTTTGGTTCTTAGTACCAAAAAAAAGAAAAAAAAAAAAAAAAAAAGTGAAAGACTACGGTGCACACCTGTAGTCCCAGCACTCAGGAGACTGAGGTGGGAAGATTACTGGGAGTTTGAGACCAGCCTGGGTTACAATGTGAGCTCAAGTCCAGCCTGAACTGTATAGTGAGACCTTGTTTCAAAGACAAAAAAAAAAAAAAAAAAAAAAAAAGCATACTGGTAGATAAACACCACTTATATATAAATACTGCACCATTTTTTTGAAGGATTAGGAGCATCCACAGATTTTGGTTTCCTTAGGGGATCCTGAAGCTGCTCTCCCATGGGAACAGAGACAATTGTACTTTTTTTCCTCACCACCACCAAAATTCAACCTTGATTTGGACAAGACTTTAACTCCTAGAAAATCTCATATCTAACATGTCCCTGTTCATGACTGTGATGCAGCACAAAGGAAACAAGGGATTACTTGGAGTCAATGTTCAACTCAAACTCCTGAGAGGCCCAGATGGGGCTGCCATTCACCAAGCCCCCTCATGTGACAGACAGTCTCAAACAACTGCCTTGTAGAACCAAGAAGCAAAGACAAAAGAAAAATGAAGAGTGTCTGGTGCAGAGAACCACCTGAATGACTCTCAAAGGAATACAGAGCAATTACCTCCACTTTGGCCAAACCTGCCCCTATCTTCATGTACTGATACGTACAGAGCTGGCTAAGCTATTTCCTTTCCCCTTCAGTTGGCTCCAAGCAATGTAAACAGGGCTGGCTGAGGTGCTGGTGCGTGATCTTTGAAGCTTGACAGCAGTCACTGTTTCCCTGCCACAGCGTCTCCTAAATGGTTGAACCTAGCGACATGGTGCAGCCACTGCTCTAAGGCCATCAACTGGGTTTGAGCCTCGAGATAAAAGGCTATGACTTTTCAGAGCAGAGAAAGTTTGTACCTCAGAACTGAAGCATCACCACCCTAACATTCAATGCTACCTGAATTGTATTATGCAGATTAGTCTTTACTTTTTTTTTTTTGGTATCGGGGATCAAACTCATGACCATGCGCTTGCAAAGGCAGGGGCTTATGCCACTGAGCTAAATCCCCAGCCCTGCAGGTCAGTCTTTCTGCATATCCTTCTCTCTGCATACAGCAGTGCTGCTTTCTGGCCTCCTACCTGGCCCAGCTCACAGCACTAATGTAAATTTCCACCATTCTCCCAGTCACTCACCCTCTAGCCACTCTCTTCTTCATGAATTAATAAAATCTGGGTTAGGCCCTGGGTCAAGGTCTTTGTTCCGACAAACCTTCATGTATGTCGAACTTAGGACCCCTTGGCTGCCCATAATTGTATGTCTTAGTGTCTTTATTCTCGCTGTGGGTTGCACTGGAAGTGGTAAGCCAAATTAACTCGTTAGAATTCCAATAACATTTCCATGGGATTACAAGTATAAACTTCCAGGACTGCAACAAGGATGGGAAAGGGACCTCTATAGTTCAGGCAGGGGATAGCGAAAGAACAGGGGAAGACCAAGGTCCTTTGTTTAATGACTGATCTTTGGACCAATTTAAATGGTAAATCAGAGTATGGGGAGAATGGAAGCCAAAGCATTTATTCCTTAAGGCAGTGTTTGATCCCACTTGGATTTATAGCCCTGGTAGGCTCTTTTAATCTCTAACTATTCATTCTGAGAAGGTTGGGGCACATGGTTCCACAAATTCCTTTATCTCCGCATATCCACTTCATGCATACCTCTGGTAAACACCCTCACACTAACATGCTGAAATCAGTTCTTCGATATTTTAATACACTTGTTCAATAATGAAAACTGTAAGCCTTATATCTTCAAAAAATCCTTAAACACAAGTGTATACTTACATAAAATCATTAAAGGAATAAAATGTCTACTAGTTTGATAATTTCTTCTCAATTCATATTTCAAAAGTTATGTATAATCTGAAATGTCCCTTTAAACCAGGGATGGCAAAAATTCTTCTGCATATTTTTTCATACCTTCTAAAAAAGGCTGAGATAAAATAACTCAAATCTTCTTTTTCTCGGTTTTGTATATATCCTGGAGATTATGATGCACCATTTCTTAGGTTCATTATTATGTTTTCATAAAAACAATTTTTACAGAGATCCTGGAGTTAATGTTTTTGTGATGTCCTGATATACTGGACCACAACATCTTGTGATTATTTTCCTAAAATAGCAACTATCAGAATAAAAATCATGGTACACCTTTATTACAAAAGTCTGCAATCTCTTGAAAGATTTATTTATTACTTTGTTTTCTGAGACAGAGTCTCACTATGTCCTACAGGCTGGCCCTGAGCTCATTGCAATCCTCTTGTTTCAGCCTTCCAAGTGTTAGGGTTGCAAGACACGCCACTACACAGTCATTTTAAGACACTTAATGAATTGATTAGCTAAAGAGTGTAGAAGTCTAGATCTGACTGGAAGAATCCCAGAACCATGCAATGCAGTAACACAAAGCTGTGATCCTCAGGCTGTATTCTGCCTGCATATAAATTTCCCATAGAAGTGGGGGTGCTCACTGTTCTCAGTATTTTTAAATTAGGTGACCACATTTTAGACTCAGAGAATTTTTCCCAATTTTCAACTTTTTGAAAAGTCACAAGACATGGCTCCATATTCCCAAATGACAACTGCTGGCTGGAGCTGAGTAGCAAGGTCCCTCTTGGACAGAATATACATCCTCATTCTGCCTACTGCTACCTACAAAGGAAGCCGCAAATGTTTCTACTCCTAGCTCAATGCTATGTGTACCCCCATTCTACTTCTCCATGTGCCTACTGCTAATACAGTGTAGAGAGATTGCAGTTAACCAATTGACAAAGCCAGGAAGCTATTGTGCAGTATTTTCTGAGATAAGGAGCTGTCCAGACATTATGGAATCAATATCTAAGGGGTATTAGCACACACACTTTCCCAAGTGTCCCAGTGAAGACTGTGCTATTTGCTCCACACTTTATTGAGTGGAATCTTCTTAGCCTCCTCTCTGAAGCTTTAACATCACTGGCTTCCTTCTTCAAGGCAGCCTCCACATCATCATCTCCCTCACTTCCGGAGAGCTGCTGATCTTTGTCTGTAAACTGTTTCTGCAAATCCAATAGGAGGACAGCTCAGATTCAGACACTAATTACAACTACTTATGTGAAACTCCTAGTGGCAGATGGTTTACTATCGACAACAAAGTTATTTATTAAGAGACTGAGACAACACTCCCTCCAAAATGTGCAGGAAGAAGGGCGTTCCCTCAGATTGTGGTACCTAGCACCTGAAAAAACATTCAGAAGCATCTTGAGAGATACTTTTGTGCCTGATAAGACAAACTCATTTTGGTGAGATGAGAACCAAATATTTAACAGAATTAAAAACACTTACTCCTAGCTGGGCACACCTATAACATTAGTACTTTGGGAGGCTAAGGAAAGAGGATAGTCAAGCTTGAGACAATGTCTCAAAAAAATGAAACTGACTAAGGATGTAGCTCAGTGTGAAGGCCTGGGTTAAATTCTCAATACAAAAATAAAAAACTACCCACCCCAAACCCTTCTCCTATTCTGAAGAACAGGCTATAGAATTTAAGAACTTGCTCAAGGTATCAGTGTAGACACACTTGTTGCCCAGTTCTCTGACCTATCAGTGGGGTTGTTGCAGAATTAACGATAACTGCACATTTAAGAAGCCCTTACTGTGTATTAGAATGGATTTTGTACATGTAATTACATGTGCATAAAGTTTCTTTTGCAGTACAATACTAGGGACTGAATCGAGAGCTTAGTTTATTTTCTAAGGCAGGGTCTCCTTATAGTTGTCCACACTACCCTTGAACTTGCGATCTTCCTGCCTCTGTCTCCTGGAGCGCTGGGATTAAAGGCATACACTGAAAGAATTTTGGCCAGACAGGACACTGTAGCCGGTGAAGCCTTAGAGGCATAACCAAGGAGCTCCTATCTCCCCCACCCCTAGGAATTTACCTGTGACTCCATCTTCCCCGCCCTCTAGGAAGTTACCTGTGGCGCCAAACAAAGACCAGTGGGCTACTCATGCATCCCTAATGCCCCCTTAGGTTCCACCCCAAATGGAGGCAACTAATATACCTCCCCAAGCCGCGTGTTCGCCAGAAAGAAAGCCGGACTCCAGCGGTAGGGGGTGTTTTGGTTTTCTCTCTCCGCGTTCTCAGCATAAAGGCCTCTTTTGTTTTATACTCATCTTTTGGATATAATCTTATCATACACCACCACGACCAGGCTATATAATCAATTTTCTGGCCAACATTACAAGTGCTACCATTGTACTATTTAAAAAAAAACAAAACTATCTCAGCAGCATGCACTTGTCCATGCCCAATTAAGAGCCAGAAAATGACGGGTCCTTCTGTACTATCTGTCACCTAATTCCTCAGGGTATACATGTGTGTACTGGCCCAGATTCTAAGCCAATATATTTTATCTTCCAAAATATAAGAAGGCAATGCGAAAGAAGTATTCGTATAAAAAAGTTTTGCTTATATATTTTTTAAAATGTGTTTTACCTCAGAAGTATTGTTTGTGGCTTGGGGCAGAAATTACTATATACAACTTCACAAGGCAAGACGTGCATGGTTCTCAAAGTTCTTCAGCACATCGCTTGAACGCAGAACGCAATCAACAAAAGGTTTAATCATGGAAAGAAAAGTCAAGGTCACCACATCAAGAATAAGCCCACCCAGCGTAGTCCGCAAGCCTGACTACACCGCGAGGCGAAGCGTCCAGGAGTAGAGAGGTAGCAGGTCTTCTCGTGTCCTTATCCTTCCCGCAAAAGCCTTCAGGCCAGTTCGCCTGCTCCAGGCGTACCTCCGGGCCCTAGGTGCAGTCACTATATTCGCTGAGCAGCTTGTAGGCTTCCTCCTCATTCTCGTGCACCTTCATGCTGCAGATCCTGAGGGCGCCCTGCAGCCCGGGTTCCAGCTGCCGCGGCCTGCCAGCCACACAGCGCTGAGCCCACCTAGCCTGAAATGAACCCTGGATTTGAGCTTCTGCCGCCCGGCTAAAGAGGCCCGGCACGAATCGGGGGTGCAAGGTGCACGCCAGCAGAGAAAAGCTAGACAAACGTTTTCCGACGACTCACTACGACTCAAGCGGGGCGGCGCGCCTTGATGACGCCAGGCATGCACAGCCTCTTTCCCTGGGTCCCAAAATTGATTTGCTGCCCTCAATGGAGGCGTGGCCCGAGGCCCCGCCCCTTCTAGGATTAACCTATACTGATTCCACAGAAGGCAGAGTGAAGGAGGCCTGCGGGTGGAGCCGGTGTGTGGATTCAGAATTCGGACTCTGATTGGATTAAACCGTGCTTGCGAAAGAATCGGTCTCTTTGAACGCTCATCCTTACTGTTGACTCCATAACGTGCGACTACCTGTGTGCTAGTCATTGTTATAGGTATTAAGGTTAGAGGCATTAGAAAAGCAAAACAAGTTTATTGTCATTTAGTGTTTCTTCCTTCCTTTACTTGTGTGTGTGATACTGCGGATTGAACGCAGGGTCTTTGCACTGAGGTACAGCCCTAGTCCTCTTTTTATTTTTCAACTTGAGACTCCTACTACTAAGTTGCCCAAGCTGTGCTCAAACTTGTGATCTTGGCTGGAATTACAGGTATGCACCACCAGCAGGGCAAGGCCAATGTTTCCCAGGAGTCACTGGGACCTTCCAAACCGTCCTCCTTGTGTTTTATTCCTATTAAAATGTGTACATTCAATAGACTTTTCTCTAGTGCCGTGTACAGTCTAGAGGCAAGATCCTAGATGCACAAATAAAAACAAGACACACAAGGTGCCAGGAACTTGGTGACACCACAGACCTGATGACCACAGTGAGATCTACTAAAACCCAGGAAAACTTCCTGACACTAAATTGTCACTGGGATTGTTAAACGTTTTAACTTGTAAAATGTGTTTTTGTATTTTAAAAGCTGACCCTTGCCCCTAGGTCTCCTCTTGCTCATATTTCTTTCTTGTAACTCTAATGAGCCTTTTCCTTTTGTCATTCGTTCATATGTTGTGTTGGCCTTCTGGCCCTACCATCCTCCCCAAACTGCTCTAACCATACCCATGGAGACCTTCTGTGTGCCAAATTCAGCTGTTCATGGGCACTGTGATGACTGCAAAATTTAATAGTCTTAACCACTCCTCGTAACCCTTTCCTTGGTATCTTGCTTTCCTCTTACCTGTCTTAACACATGTAGGACGCCAAAGGTGCTCAGTAAACATCTGGGTGGTGCCCAGAAGCATCGGCCTAGTCTGTTCCTCAGGACTTTTACCTCTATTTTTTGCTCAGATTGAAGGGCTCCAAGCTGGAGCTGGACTTCAGGCTGGAGACAACTCCCTGTCCCTTCCCTCAGAACCAAGCCTTCATTCTCACTGCCCTCAATCTCTACTCAAGGATCTACTCAAGGTCTAATAGGCCACAAGAGGCCTATTAGAGGTAGCTGCCCTCAGACTGCAGATGCCATCTCAGGGAATCAGTCCAGATCAAGCTTTGAGTTTCTAGAGAGAACCTGTAGTATCTGTGCTCCCTACCTGCCACCCCCCAAGAGAGAGAACACAACCATACAGGGATAATTTTTCTAAACTTTTATTTTATAGCAATTGTCATGATTAGAGAAGTAAATAACACATTTAAAAACCTTCGTAGGGCCAAAGGATGCCAGAGTATTTACAAACACATGGGGTGTGGGGGGGGCAAGACATGAAAGTCTGGGATCGGGGGCTGTACCCAGGACCCTGAGCCAGGTGTGACCACTGATGCCAGCTACCAGGACTGTCCTGGGCTCAGGAAGCATCAGGCAGCTTGGCTCCGCTAAGTGGGCCTCATGGGAAACCCTTTGACTGACCTGTGGCCCCACTCCCATCCAGGGGGCTCCCCACACCCCACAGGCCAGCTCAGTGGGGCCTCTGGGAAGCACCGAAGGACACAGGACAGTGTAGGGGACCTTGGGGCAGGGACAGAGGTCAGGGATGACTTAGCCTGCCCCAGGTGGGACAGACACACATACATGTGTGTGCACACACTGTACCTTCACAGAGGAGTTGCAAAGGGAAGGATTTTTTTTTTTGTTTTTTCCTTTTGTCTCCAAATCACATCTACGGTGTTTTTTGCTTTTTTGTTTGTTTCTGTGACAGTGACATAAATTGAGGTAAACATCGTGACCGACACCTCTCCTAAGGGCTAAAGGATCCCAACCCCACCCAACAGAAAGTGGCAGCAGCAGGGCAGAGCAGGAGCAGAGCCCTGACCCAGTCCAGTCCTGCAGGGGGTCAGGCTGGTCTCCAACTCTGGAGAGGGGGCCGGGCTACATCCCTACTGCCCTTCCCAGCTTAACACCCTACACTATGACGATAAGGGAGACAACTCCCTAACAAGATCTCAACAGAGAAGGAGAGAGGGCACATGGAGAGGGATGTCTACTGTGGGGACTGTGGAGTCTCGCTTCCTTGTTATTGCAAGAGATCAGGATGTCGAGAGGCCTAAGGCAAAAAGGAGAAGTCACGGCTGGGAGAGGCCAGAAGGCCCCAGGGGGCGGGGCAGTGACAGGGCCTTTCTGAGAGTCCACTCTTGGCAGGAGGGGTTTGCTACTTACCTGGCATGTGGGCCCTGTGCCCACTGGGGAGGTGGGGTCTTGAGAGGAGGGCACACCAAGGAGCGCAGGGCCAGGCCCCAGGGCAACCATTACGCTGTTTGTAAACTGGACCCAGACAGGGCAGGGGAACCTATAGCCCTTTTTCGGTGAGAATGAAGGGGGTTGGAACTCTAGGCTGGAGGATGGTCTATACCCCCTGTGGGCAGCCTGGCCCATCAGGAGCTCCCTTGAATGTCCCAGAGCCTCAGGAAGGACCCCGAGAGAGGCAGCCCAGGCCAGTAGGTGGGGCATTGCCAGGCAGAGGCTGAGGCCTCACCCACATTGAGGTTATTGCCAGGTCCCAGGCCTCCGCAGAAAGGGCAGGAGTCACAAGCCTGCTTCCTCTAAGTCAGCTTTGCTGCCTGGGGGTCTGAATTTACCTGCAGGTGCCGCTTCGTGGGTTCCCTGAGGGATGTGGTGACAGCTGCCTGGTGGGGGACCTTGGTGAGGCTGGGAGGTGTCTGTACGTGCAGTCACCAGATTGCACAAGGCTGCACCCACATGTCTGTCCTCTGCCTCGAGTGGTTCCCACTCACAATGTCAGCCCCCCTCCCTATCCCTAGATACCTCCTGCTCCTGAATCCTCCAGGACCAGAAACTGGAGATAAGTGGGGATGGAGTGAGTCAACCCTACTCCTGGAGGTTGACACGCTGACCTCAGAAGAAACCCAGGAGAAATTACTGGCACAGTCACCTCACTGTCTGTGGAAAATTCAGACCCTGTACCTGGGTTGGGGCAGCAAAGACTAGGAGAGGGTCTTGGGAAGGGGCCACTGCCCACCTTGAACAGGTCCCCTGTCCTAGAGATGCAGGGGCAGCTGAGACCCCTGCCCTGGAGCCCTTCTGTCCCAGAGTCCTTGTGGAGGACCGGGGGGGGGGGGGGGGGATGGAGGTCTGGGAGGTGGCTCAGTGACTGTATGCCCAAGGCTAGCCGCCTTCCCCCTGGGCTAGTCCTCGCCAGCTGAATGGGGGTGTGGGGCACACTAGATTCTTATAGCCGGTGCCTGCACGCACACACACTTTTACACAACATCTAGACTTCTGCTATTATTTTCCAGGGGCTTGACCTTCAGCATCTGATGGAAGGAACATGGCTGCCTTTCTCCCAGGCAGTGTCCAGGGGCCTTGAGCCACTTCTGTGCCCAGAGTGTGGTGGGGACAGAGTAGGGCAGGTGGAAGGGCACGGACTGTGGGACCATCTGCCGGGGGGTGGGGGTGGGGGTGGTGGAAAAAGCCAGGAGTGGCTAGTGAGGTTCCCAGGCAGGAAGAGGGTGTAGGGGAGTCTGGCCTGCAAGCTCCCTGGCTGCCGGTGTGTTTTCAGGGGCGCCTCTGAATCCTCGGGTTTGCGGGGCTGGGCTCTTCTGTGCCGCCACCTGCCCTGCCAGCCGCTGAGGCCCTCTGGTGGCTGTCCCCTCCAGGGGGCCACCGACCCGGTACCTGGGCCACGCGGCCTCCTAGTCTACACTACTGTCTCCCGCTGCGCAGCGGCTGCTCGAGCTCCTGGGCCGAACAGATCTGCTTGGCGCGGGCCGTGCTGCTTCCCGCGCACCGCCGGGCTGCACGCTCAGCGCCCCGGCCCGAAGGTGGCGGAGGCGACTCAGACGCAGATCTCAATGGCCGTGGCCAGCACCACCTGCCCTTTGCTCTTGTCCGGGCGGCCGTCGGTCCTGCCAGGGGGACCGGGGGGTGCCAGGCCGGCCTCGGGCACTGGCACCGGCACGGGCACGGGCACGGGCACGGGCACAGGCACCGGCACCGGCCCGACAGCAGGGGGCGCGGGCCGTGGGCCCCCGCTGCTCTCGGTGAGCACCGTGCGCTTCAGCGGCGCTGGTGCTTCGAGGCGCAGCGGCCCCGCGGCGGGCAGGCGATCCCCGGGCGGCTTGCGAGCGCGGTGCGAGGGCCGGCGCCGCAGCTCGGACGTGAGCTCGTGTTTCAGGAAGCGGAAGACCTCCTTGGCCGGGCCGCGGCGCTCGGGCTCCAGCGCCAGAAGGCGCTGGAACATGCGCAGCGCGGGCTCAGTGAAGCGGCGCCACTGCGAGGGCAGCCCGGGCAGGCGACCACGCTGCCAGCGCACGAACTCCTCGAAGAACGCGTCAGCACCCGACGCCGCCTCCCACGGAAAATTGCCCGTGAGCACGCAGAAAATGAGCACACCAAAGGCCCACACGTCCACGCCTGTGTCCACCGCGAAGCCGTCGGCGCGGCCCGCCTGGCACACCTCAGGGGCAGTGTAGGGGATGGTGCCGCTCACGCGCTTCACGCGGCAGCCCACACGGCGCGTCATGCCGAAGTCGGCCAGCTTCACGCGGCGGCACTCGCGGTCAAAGAGCAGCACATTCTCCGGCTTGATGTCGCGGTGTACCAGCTGCCGCCCGTGCATGAAGTCCAGTGCCAGGCCCAGCTGCTGCACACAGCGCTTCACGGTGTCCTCGGGGAGCCCCACCTGTTACCGGACAGGCGCTGCACTCAGGATGATGGGACACAACACACCCAGGGCCCTCTCCTTTTTGGCATCCTTGGTGGTCCGGCCCCTCACCTACCCTGAAACTGCCCTTCTCTGCCGTCCGCTGTGGGCCTTGCCCCTCTTCTGTGGCCTGCCCATTCCTGCCTTGGACCTCTTACGCACTATGGCTGCCTGGGCAGCTTCTGCCCCTCCTCCCCCCTTAACCAAATAACTGCAGTGACTTAATACTGAGTGCTAGCTGTGGGCCTGGTGCTGTGATAATTCTTTTCTGGCAGTGTCCCATAAAAATCTTACCATACGGGACAACTATGCCCACTACCCCGTAGGATGTGAGGCTCCCAGAGACCTCACCAATTAGTGGCTGAGCAGAGGCTAGCCTGCTGCCTGGGATCCTCCACCTCTCCTTGCTCCAGAGTTACCTCCTGTCCTGTGCAATTTCAGAGGGGGGCTGCTGTATGCGACTCTGCCACTCTGCTTCCTTTAGAGTGCTCATCTCGGTCTGTTATTAACTGGCTTTCTAGGGAGTATTTTCCCAAGATGACAGCGGAACCTTTCTGTTCTTCAGCTCCTACAACAGTGACTGATACACAGCAGGTGTTCAATAACGCAGTTAAAAGCAGTTTCCTCAGCCTCACACTCTAGGGACCCCACACATCACCTTCCCTCTCTATGCTCCAGTCCCAAATACCTGGGGAGGGATGATGTCAAACAGGTCCCCAGCGGGTGCATACTCCTGGGCAAAGACGTAGCAGTCCTCTGTCTCGAAGACCACATCGAAGATCTTGATGATAAAGGGGCTGGACGAGAGGCTGTTGGTGATGCTTACTTCTCGCAGAAAGTTCTTCAGCTTTGTTTTGCTCTTGTTTACAAACTTGAGTGCCATTTTTGTGCCTGGCAGGGACCATAGCAACAGTGGTGAGGACCCTGTCTCTGCATGTGACATATACCCATCCCTGTCCTTGGCCAGTGAAGTCCCAGCTAGCACAAACACTCTCACCTCAATGATGAAAAACAACCCAGAGAGCAGAAAGGACTTGCTAAGATCACAAAACAAACCACAGGCACACACTTGGTCTTCCAGGCAAGTATGCGCTCCTCCAGGAGGGTGGCTGCAGGGACCTGCTGCTTCCCGGAGCTGCTCTTGTTTTCCTGCCATACTGTGTAATTCTTTGTTCATATTTATGTCATGCTTCACAGTGACCCTCTGAAGTGGCCACCAGTGTTTTCCAAATAGAATACTGAGACACAGTGGTGTTAAATTACCCAGGGCCACTCAGCAAGCAAGTAGCATTCAGGTGACCCCATGTCCAGTGCTCTTCCTGCTGCCTTAGCTGGCAAAGGCCTCTGCTTCTGGTCTACACAGTTGCCTGGAACTCACACAACCCCTGCCCAGACTAGTTGAATGGGCATCACAGTGAGCCTATCGTATAGGGGGCATCAAGCCTGGTGGCTAAGCAAGATGGCTGTGAAGGTGATCCCCAGGGTATCATCCCAATTCAAAGCCTATGTAGCTGCATGATGCAGGTTGTTATGGCTTATATCTGGATGTCCCCCTAGAGTCTCATGTGCATAGGTGGGGCTTTCTGGAGGTGGCTGGATCTAGGTTATTTGATGCTGGGATTAATGGTATGATGCTAACATTATGTGTGCCCCAGCCTGGATGTGTGTGCGGCCCACCCTAAAGGAATATAAATGACTGAAACAGGGTGCTGCTGTTGTTTGTTGTTGCTGCTGCTTGTCTTCTGCTGCATCTTGGCTACTCTGTGATGCTCCTCCTCCATGTGCCACTCTGCCTTGGAGCCATCGGATCATGGACTGAAACCTCTACAAACTGTAAACTAAATAAACCTTTCCGGGCCAAGAATATAGCTTAGTGGCACAGATCTTGCCTGGCAGGTGTGAGGTCCTGAGTTTGATTCCTGGTACCAAACAAACAATTCCTTATTACAAACAAACAAACAACCCTTTCTCTTTTAATTTTAGGTTGGCTATTTTGTTTCAGCAATGCTAAAAGTAACCAAAACACTGGTTAAATGATGGAATGTCTTGGTTACAAGAGTCCTCACTAGAGAAAAGCAGATGGCCACCCCAGCCTTAAAAGGTCATCACCCTGGTCCTGAGGACCCACCCACACTTCTGCTCACCTCCCAAGGATCACCTATCATTGATCAGTCCCAAGCACAATCACCAGTCTGCCTCTCCCCTGAGCACCAGAGGTTCCTCAGGCATCCCAAATGGCCCCAAAGCAGCCCACCCTATAGTCAGGGCACTCATCCCCAGATTCTTTCCTTGTCCCTCTCCTGGGCTGCTGCAGGTGCCATCCTCTCCACCTGGCCCACTGTCTCCCCACCTATGCTCCCTCCTAAACCCCAACAGAGAGCCCTGGCAATGTTTCCTACCCCAACCTTAAAACTCTGCCACCCTGAGGATACTCACCTGTGCCCTTGTAGGACACCAGGTCGACTTTCCCGTAGGTGCCTTTGCCTAGTTCCCTGACAAGTTCATAGTGCTTGGTGACGTCGCTGGCAGCCAGTGTGCGGAGTGTCAATGCCTGCATGTCTTCCGTGAGGAGGGGCACACCTGCCCCAGGCCCAGGGACGGTCCCCGGCCCACAGCAGGGCAGGGAGTGGGGCTGCTCAGGCTCTGGGCATCCCACGCTCATCTTCTCCCTGTTGTGGGAGGTGTGACATGAAGAGTGACATCAGGCCAAGGCCCCGTCCTCCACCTACCTTCTGCCTCCCCAGCACCCAGGAAACTCCCAGCTGGGCCCCATGCCAGGTGCAAGATGACCACAAGGGGGCAACAGTTCTCATGGTCGCATAGCTGTGGCTTCCCAGGCTAGGCTGAGGATCTTTTTACTGTCTCTTTTTACACTTGGGCACCACTGGTCGTCAGTCTCATGCTGTCTACCACACAAGGCCAGGCAAGGCATACACATTTATGTCACACAAAGACATGGCCATATACCAAGTTCACGGGCATGCTTCCACTCACAAGTTTTGTTTTGTCTGCAGAGATGGGAGCTGAACGAGGGCCTTTCCCAGGCCAAGCATGTGTTCTATCACTGAGCCACATACACAGTCCCACTCTTATGTACTGATGAAGCAAGATGCTGTTGGCCAGGTATGACTCAAAGGCTCAGGGACACAACACTGAACAGCACATAAGAATTCCTGACCTTGGGGGCTTACGTCACACAGGAAATGGACAAGAAAAGAAAACATATCAAAGGCACACAAGTGTATGTTACAATCAAAGTTAACATGGCTGTGAGGCCTGGGAGGTCAAGATTCACACTAACCACATACCTCGGTCAGGGATCCTCTCTCCACACTCTGGTGGGGTGGTACAAATGTGGTCACACCAGCACGGCCGACGACACAACCCACACAAAGTCACGTAGTGTGACTGTGTCCCAGGCCGCTGGCCCCAGACCCAAGCATCTACCCTACAGAGTCCCAGTCCTCCTCCTCCACAGTCATAGCCCAAGATGTCTTTGGTGCCCACATAGGCTGGGGTGGGTTCTGAGTGCGTCTCTACTCCCACTCAGTGTGGCCTTGAATCTACCTGTAGGACTTACTGGGCAGCAGGGCACCGCACCGGGGAGATTCTAGGGCTAGGTACAGGAGACCCATTCTGGAAGACTCTCAGTGGGTGACACTGAATGAAGGCTGGATTTGGGACCTTTACCCAGTCCCCCGCCCCCCCCCCCCCCGTTGTATTTCACTTCATTTTTCTAGTCTTCCTGAGGTACATCTGATATACAACAAACCACATATTCTAAGTGTTTCAGGTGACAAATTTTGACACATGTATATTCGTGAAAACATCACTGCGATCAAGGTAATGAACACACCCATCACACAAGGGCCTCCTTTTGCCTCTTTGTAAGTCCCCAGCCCGCGCCTGTCCTTGTCTTCCAAACACCCTCACTGGGGCCTGATTTCTGATTGGTGAACTCAGGGAGGGGAGACAAGGGGAGTGAAACTTTCTCCAAGTGCGGCCTGTAGGTGTGCTCTCGTATGTGTCTGTGCACGCACAGGCAGGGGACACCAGTACTACACCCTGCATCAGCTGCCACAACCCCTGGGAGCCACCTCCTGGTGCACCTCCCTCAGCCCTGCCCGCGTCCTCACTCGCTCCCAGTCCCCCCTCACTGAAAGACAACTCCCTCAGTTCCATCTGATAGAAGATGCTGACTTGGAGCCACACAGTCTGGGTCTGAATCCCTAATCTGTCATACACCAGCTAGATACCCTTGGGCAGATTACTTCATCCCTGTACCTTGCTTCTTCATCTATAAACAGACACAATGACAGTACCTACTTCCGATGGGTTGCTGTGAGGTTTAAATTAATCGGCAGCTGGGTATGGTGGTGCATCCTTCTCAGCCCAGCTGAGGCAGAAGGATTGAGAGCTGAGGGCTAGGGTTCTCTTAGCCTGGCCTATGAGCCCTCTTGAGCCTCCCCAGCCTCTTCCTCTGCTTTCCCCTTCCCTCTGGCAGCACGACCCAGCCTCCCACTTCACGCGGAGAGAAGGAGCATCAGGAGGGAACTTCCTGGCCTCCCACCTCACTGCAAGCGCAGCACCATCTGCACCGCCTTCCCAGCTGGCTGGGTGCGGGAGCCCTCCCCCCACTTTGGCTCCCACCCCTTCTGCTTCCTCAGCATCCTGCTCCCTCCATTCATGAACCAGCTCTGTTCATGGTCTCTGTTCTAACAGCCTTCCCATCCCCAGCTACAGCCTTTTCTTTCCTAGTTCACTTCATTCATAATACGTGCCAGGGACTCCATCTGAAAGGCCATCAGCCTTGCCCTTGGGGTCTAGTCTGTAGCCTGATGACCCCTTTCACAGACCCCCACAGGGAGAAATGGTACCGGGCCCCAGCAAACCAGTCTTCCTTCTACCTTCCAACCCTGGCCTGGCACCTGTCACCAAGTCTATGCAGTTGCAGCTCCAGGTTGGGCTACACTGGGTCTCTGCTGCAGCCCCAGCTGGATTACAGTGGGGTAACTGGACTGGTTTAGGATGCCATCTCCCTGTAGTAGCCTCTCCTTGGCTTCATGGCCAAATTCTGTCAAATGCCCCAGAAGGTGATGACGACCAGTATGAGGAAAACCGAAGGGTTGCTTTAATGCCAGCAGGGAAAGGGGTGGCTGCTTCTGTGTGGGCATCCTCAGACCAGTGCATCTGGGGCCCTTTCTGCAGACAGTGAGGGGTTTCCCAAAGGGGTCTGATGAGCACACAGCCTCTTTGCTTTGAACTCCGTCCTCCCTAAAAGACACTGGACTGCTTTCCTCACCCACGAGTGATGTGTATGGACGCCCCAGCGTTGCTGAGGCAGAATGGCATAATGTATATGTTCCTGTTGCCTTTGGCTGAGCCCTGTCTGAAAACTGTTTCTGCATCCCCAGGAGCTGGATTGGCAGCTGTAAGCAGCTGCATGCCTTCAGTCCTGCTGGCTCTGAGCTGCACTGGGTATGTGCTGGGCTGGGCCAGGGGCACAGCCGCAGGGGTTGGGTTTGGACTTCTAGGGTCAGGCCATCTGTGGCCTCCATCCATTCCCAAGTGACTCTCATGCCTATTTCACCAACTCCAGCCTGACACCCCCCAAGTCGCCCTCCAGGAAGCCTTCTCTGTTGCTCCTGCAGATGCTCTGCTGAGTACCAGGATCTGGACAGGTCACATCTTTCTCAGGGCTCCAGACCCTGGTGGGGGCTGGACCAGAGTCAATACTCTTACATCTCTTTCCTTAGTTCACAGGCTTGAGTTTGCCCCGCCTTCAACCTGCCTTTCCACAGGATGTCAGCAGGGGACCAGGAATGAATCCACACACCAATCCAGCTGCTGTGTCATCCCCAGGTCAACTGCAGCTGACCCACTTACCATGCATGTGACTTAAGAGGCACAGTGGGGAGCGACAGAAACAGCATGGGCCTTGGAGCTTAGTAGCCTTGGCCTTGATCCTAATGTGCACCACTTATTAGTTGTGTGACCTTGAGCAAGTCACACCACTTCTCTGGCCATCATCTTCCACATCCATACAATGAAGGAAACAAAAATACTGCATTAGCTCTTCTGTAGTACCTACTATAGATCAGGCCTTGTTCAAAAGACCAGATAGCTAATCTTCACCATTCCACGAGGTAGGTATTATATCACCAATTTAGAGATGACAAAAATGAAGCACAGGAAGTCTGAATAACTTGCCCAACATCACACAGCTGGCACTGGGATTGGTTCCAAAGTTGGTATTTAGCCCACTCTGTTTTCTCAAGTCAGAATGCTAGAACATCTCACCCAGATCCCTCAGCAGCTGAGTGGGAAACTGAGGTTCAGAAGAGGGCAGAATCTCAGCCAAGGGTGCCCATGCCTTCCTTACAGCTCCTGCTGATAGCTAACCTGGGTGCCAGGCACTGCTGAGGTGCCACACAACATCTGCTTCACTAAGGGGCTGGCACGGTAGAAGGCATGAGTGTCTGGCATGGGGGGACAGCTCAGTCCCCCAGAACTTTATCATCACTGCTGCAAACTTGAAGGCTGTGAGCTTGCAGCATCAGGTGCTGTGCTGTCCTCTCTTCCTCCAAACAGTTAGCACTGCAGCTGCTCACTCACGCCGACTGTGCCAGCGCAGAGGACCCTTTGGGTCATGCTCTTCATGGGTGTGTCTTCACAGGCCCCAAGGGAGCTCCTCTGTTTTCCATCTGTGTGGCTGAGGGCAGGTGGGATCCCTGGTCTCCATGGCAGCAGTTGTAACTCTGCCACATGCTGTGAGGGCCACTGTGGTGGTGGGGGAGGGTTTCCCTAGCAAGAAGCAAGACTGAACCGCCTACCACTTCCTGTTGGCGGGCAGCTTGGGCTGGTTGCCACCTATGTGAAGCTATACCCAACTCCGTGCCCAATATAGGTCTGCTCTGAACCTCATGCCTACTGCGCACACACACAAGCAAACAGAGACACCAAAGCATACACACATGTGCCCAGATGACAAATACACACCATGCAAACAGACACAAACCCACATACACAAGCACAGACACACAAATGCATACCAACACACAAACATGTACACGTGTGCACAGAAACAAATACAAACACAAAAGCACAGACACATGCACATACAAATACAGTGTGCAGATGCAGAAACACAAAGGTGCAATGCAAGCAGGCATATAAAGATGTACACACATGTGCACACAGCACATACACAAAGTGCCACAATTGTGCAAAATTTCCTTCACCAAGTCCTCACAAGAACCCTGAGAGGAAGCTGCCTAAGTTTTACAAGAACAGTGTAATTGAGGTATAATTTACATAGCACAAAACTCACCCACTGTGAACACACAATTCAGTGATTTTAACAACCTACAGTGCTGGATAACCATCGCCACAATGGAGTGACGCTTTCTACTTTGTAGATGAAGAACGGAGGCCCAAGAGGTGGATGATTTGCAGTGGTCATGTCAACGATGGCCAACTCTCCGCCAACATGTGTGTGTCAACTTCTACAACACAAGGTTGCTGCTGGAAAGTGGCTGTCCAACAACAGGGAACCACATTCCCAGCTTCTTTCACACCCACACATGGCCGTGGCGGGCTTTCCCCGAGGGAAGATGAACAGAAGTGATATGTGTTATTGTCAGGCAGGGGCTTCTCTGAAGTAGGGGAG